ATTACTGCGGATGGATTTAAGAGTCAAACTATATGAAGCAACATTAATACAACTCTTTTTGGAAGTATTTGAAATTTTCAGCTTGTTTTCCTAGATTTTAATACTAAATTTGAAAAGAAAACTTAACCACTGTTTGGAAAAAGTTATTTTCAAAAATGTCCTTGGACTAAGTATCCTTTGTTCCTATGTCTGGATAACACATGGTTGCAATTAGAAAGACAAACTAACTTTTTTTCAATATTTATTACTATTTTGCTCACAACTATAGACACTTTTATCTTTAGAAGTCATGAAAATTTCAGCATTTAAGACAATCGTTGTGTACCTAGGTAAATAGAAAACATTGTGCTTGGAAGAATTATATTAGGTATTGGAAAGAATAGGAGAACAGAGGACTCTATGGAAGTCAATAAAAAATAGGCGAGATAGGTTGGTAGGACACCCTCTTAGGCATGAAGGTCTAGACAGAGACATATTAGAGGCAGAAACAGGAGTTAGGAGGGGTAGAGGTAGATCTAGATTAGATTACTGTTCGCAAATAGTTAAGGATGTGGGCTGTTCTAGTTTTAGGGAAATGCGAAGTTTAGCTCAGGATAGGAAAGAGTGGAGGTACGTGTCCAACCAGTCTTAGGACTGATGACCTTATGTTGATGATGATGATGGAAGAATTATTAAAAAAACGTAAATATCAGATTAAATGAGCAATACCAAGACCAATACCGAGACTACCTCAGCTAGACCAAGATCGAGACTATATCAGCAAGACCTAAGCTAAAAGCTAGACCAATACCAAAATATCAAGATCAAGTCACACACTATTTAGCATATTTATGCACTAACGGTATAGGTGAGGTTAGATTATTGAGAGATCGCCATGATTAAAATGTAAGCACTGTACAGCGTCGACAATGATACCCATTCGTCCAAATTTGAATTGGTTCAAAAAAAAAGTTACGTAGAAAAAAGAAATATGAGACTCCGTGTTGGAAATAAAAATGAGATTAGACAAAAGTTCAAAATAGAATTTTCATCTACTTTTCACAAGTAGAAACGCCGACGTGATAAATATTGTTCAATATTAATATTAAACGCCATCGTGCTGTGACGTTTCTATTTCAGTTACATTTTAATACAGAATCTCGTGAATAAAAACGACTTTGATATGTATTATTTAAGGTTGTCTGCTTGGCCTTTTGCAAGTGACACTTTTCTTTAACTTCATTTAACGTTATCAAACAATTTACAAAAGTTTTTACATCTGAAATTCTAAATATAGTAACACAAGCTTTTACTCGCGGTTTCGCTCGCGTTGATTTCATAAATATATTCCAAATAGCATCAAAGATACACAATAATTTGATAAATTTGTTGTTAGATCCTGAGCAGGATCAACAGGATAAAATTAAAGTTTCTAATTTTCTAGGATAAACATACACTTCGCTTAGAATAACAAACATGAAAAGAGCTTTTTCTTCCCTTCGAAGCAGTTGTTTTTTCTGAATAAATAGTACTCTATATTCTCTTTGTACCCCTAACAATGTGTGTAAAAAAATTCATGATGATCGGTTTAGTAGTTAAGACGTGAAATGGTAATAACTGAACAAACAAACACCCACTCGCTTTTGTAATATTATTTAGGATTGTGATTACATGCAGACCCATCATTCAAGGACGTAGGGTACGTATTCTATCAATCCTAAATCAAAATAAGTTAAACAATATCGGGTCGTTTTTCTTTTTACTGTAGTTAGAAAACGTTAGAAATGAGAAGGAATTAGAAAGAGTAGGAGAACAGAGAGGAACAGAATCAGGAATTAAGAGGGGCAGGGATACATCTGGATGAGATTACTAATTGCAAATTGCAAATAGAGATTTAGTTTGCTGCAGTTTTTGAAGGATGCGAAGATTGGCTCCAGATGGGAAGAAATGAAGAAGGGTGTTCAGCCAGTACTTCTGTTGAAGACCTGATGATGATAATGTTGATGATTTTTATAGATCAATTCATACTGTAATACTGATTTTATACTGTTGATGACAAGCTATGTCAATTGTTATTCTGTTTATTTTTTCGAGAAATATAAAGTCTCCATTACATGCAGATGCTCTTAGCATTTCTGCTATAAAACACATAAGTACATAAATACATACATATGTTTATTAAAAGGATTTAAAATGGTCTCAGTTTTACATTTCCTCAATTTCAGGAAATAGTCTTCACATGTGACTTCCAATTTTTATTATACACTTCGGCGTTTTAATTGTTATTATTTACCAAGAAGTTGATCACCTTTAATAAGCATAATAAATGAGTAAACTCGCTAAAACTTGGGTCACTTCACTTGCCTAGTTGCTCGACTGAAACCACTAACTAAATTCCTGTTCACGTCGATGTCTTACTGAAACTTTCATAGTTTGTATACAACTTGCCAACTTGGCACGTATACCTTTGCAAAATAGTAGTTTACAAGTTTCGATCACTTTAATTTTCCAAAAACGAAACAAAAGTTTGCAAGTTGGTCTCAAATTAAAACAACTAAAACTTGATTAAATTTGAGTCTGTTGGGTTATATCTTATCTGCACATATGTATGATAAAGATATAAAATTAACACGAAGTTTCTATTTCTTTCCCATTTTAAATTTTCGTAAAAGTATAGAATATTCATCATCATAAGGTCGTCAGTCCTAAGACTGGTTGGACACGTACCTCCACTCTTTCCTATCATGAGCTAAACTTTGCATTTCCCTAAAACTAGAACATCCCACATCCTTAACTATTTGCGAAGAGTAATCTAATCTAGATCTACCTCTACCCCTCCTAACTCCTGTTTCTGCCTCTAATATGTCTCTGACTAGACCTTCATGCATGAGAAGCTGTCCTAATAACCTATCTCGCCTATTTCCTATTGACTTCCATAGAGTCCTCTGTTCTCCTATTATTTCTAATACCTCTTCATTTCTAACGTTTTCTACCCACGTTACCCTCAACATTCGCCTATAACACCACATTTTGAAGGCTTCTAACCTTTTCTTTTCCGCCGCGCCCACTGTCCATGTATAGCACCCGTATAACGCCGAGCTCCAAACATACACCTTTAACAATCTTTTTCGAATTTATTAATTAACCGTTCGCGAGCATAGAAGTGACTTCTTTTTATTGAAGGCGACTCGATCCCGCGCTATCCACTACTTTATATCCCTACTACTCCTTCCATCCTGACTTATCTGACTTCCTAATAGATACCTAAAATCAGTCACTTCCTCTAATTTTTCGTCTCCTATCTTTATATTCGCTCTTTAACTACTTTTTCTTCCCTTGCATACCAGTGTTTTAGTTTTATGGAATATTAGGAGAATAAAATTGACGTTTCGCCATTAACTACGCGGTTTCATCAAGATATCCTAATCTTCACTCTAATCCAATATTTGTCAAATTAAAATACTGACAATGAATGTAATAAATCTTATGAACTAAAGAATTTTCTAGTTCATATAATTGTGACACTTTATATTTTGGAAGCAAGTGTGTAACAGCTGAGACTTCCAATTTCAAATCGTGGTAACTAAATGCCAAAATCGTTCACAACCTTCTCGTTTTAAGTTTATATAAGTTATATCGCAGGAAAGGATGTTTTCGATCTCCGGCTTTGACAAGAATATAAATTTCCTTTTGAACCGATACCGGCTATTGATTTGACTTACGAATCAAAAAGCACAAGCGTTGTCTCGTAAATATTTGATCAGTAAGTAAAATGATGAGAAGATTACAAAATGAAAGCAGAAAGCCCTGTTTTATTAATTTTTGTTAAATTCGGAAAAAAAAATTATAACATTTTTAGTACTAGCAATGAGTTGATAATATTCAGACAAAAAGTAGGCGAAACACGTGCCTTTTTTTTCAAAAATTATAGGCGAATATCTCTCTTAGTTAATTTACTTACCAAAACCTCCGTAGCTATTCTCTTTTTGATTGACTATAATATCAAAAAATTCTTTGGGCGAATATTTTGCATTTTTTTTTTTAATAAACCACTAGTTAACACGTTATAATTAGCATTAGCAGTTTTTAGTCCTAATAGAACAAAGTACAGGTATTTTAGAATCTGATGGACCTTGCCTGTTCAACGATTTCAACAAAGGTAGTCATTGTTTACCAGTCTATTTGATGTCGAAGTTTATAAACAAGTTACAGGGTTAACAGTCCAATCAATGTTTGCATAATGTGCAATATAAATACAATAAAATTTTGTCAATCGCGTATAGAAAGGCTTATGAAATTTTGAACTACCTATACAAGGACTTCAGGCAGGTTATCTCTGTTTCTCTTCTTTCCTCAATAAATATCAAGATAAATGGAGTTACAAATAAATGTTATTTCTTGTGTAGGTTTACTCTATTACGTATGTTACATGAAAATCAATATTTTACATTATTAGATTTTATCTTACGTTTACCATCTACCTTAATGTTTGTTAAATACCATACCTACATATAATATCTGCTTTTACTATTATTATTTTGAAGTACAAGCAATTCTTAGGCGAAATATTGAAGTTTTGGAACTTTTAAATAATTTCTATTAAAAGTGCTAGACTGAATTTAAAAAAAAACATAATTAGCAAAATTGAAATTTAAAAATTAATTTTTTGAAAATACTCCCAATCAAGTAAAAAGAAGTTAAGATAAAAGTAACTTCAAAAATCAAATGATAAAACAGAAATCAATTCACTTCATAAATGCACTTGCAAATAAGTACCTATGCACCTATTAAATACTATTTTGTAAAGCTGTATAAGACCGGAATGGGTTTCTCAAACTTATAAATGTTTTCGATTGTTTAATCTGATGAATTGAACAATTAAATGTAAATTTAATTTATTGTGATCCCATTTCCCTACTCTACTATTCTCCTACAGCAAAAGTGTTTCGAAGTTTTAAGTTACTTTTAAATCAATTTCGGACAACAAAAACTAAATTTTCTGATAATTTACAAGCACTTACATGCCTCGTTGTCGCTACTGGGTGACAAATTGATTACAAACGGGAACAATATTCGAACAGCTGTTGACAAAACTTGGACGAGTGGTGGCAAATCTGTAATCAGAGAAGAGCGAATAGTGAGTAAAACAACGCGTCCAGCGAGAGACCGCGAAACGCACTGAAACCAAACCGAAAACAGAGCTTATCAGGCGTCGCGTCGTAGCAGATAGGAGAGACCGTCGCGAAGCGTCGAATAGCGACGCCTGAAGCGTACCTATTACAACCCGATACTCATGTACATTCACCTAGTATGTTTATGGAAAGAAATAACAATATTGGATTTATTTAATAATTGATCTTAATAGAATTAGATTATTGGATTGTCGAAAATGATTTTTCACGTTTTTACCTTTTGATTGACCAATCCTAATTAATATTATAAATGCAATTCATGCCTTAACTATTCAACCGATCATCATGAAATTTTGTACACATTGTCAGGGGTACACAAAAGGACATCTTTTATCCAAAAAATAAGTACCCTTCCTGAAGGATTGAAAAATTAGTTTTATGAGGTCGTCGATGGTTTTTGATACGTATTTAGGATATGAACACGAGCGAATGCGCTAGTAAAACCCATCAGGAAATTTGGACGTATATTGTCGGGGGTACAGAAAAGGACATAGGGTACCTTCTGTTTAGCAAGGAAATACTGTTTTCAAGGGACAGAAGAATTAGGATTATGTGGTCGTCGATGTTCTTTGACAGGTAGATATTTAGAAACTTGACGCGAGGGATGACGTTGGAAAAACGTAACATAATGTTCTTTAATCATTTTTCTTAGATTCACCTTCAAATAAATGAGATTACTAAAGTTTATAATAATGCCAAAGTTTCAATTGGTCCACCGGTCCTTATGTAGGTGTATGACTTCAGATGTTTAAGATTTGTGATGCAAACGAGGTAGTGACTTAAGTTGACGATGATAAGAAACTTAACTCACGACTTAAACGTATTTATTTAGCAATAAAACTATAAAAACAAAACAAATTGCAAAACTTCTAGCGTTATACAAAGAGATTGGCAACAATTCCATTAAACATAAAACAGTTTCAAAACTCTACTACTACTTCCTACTCAATTGGGATTATTTGTTAACTTCAGAAAAACGGAGGGCGTGGAGAGAAAATAAAATATATAATTTTAAATAAATCCACATTGATTTGCAAAACTAAAGCCAGAAATTGGACCAAGCTTTTAAGGATAAAATGTGATCAAAAACAACAATAAACTTTATGATTTGCATTTGTTAAAATGATATATAATTTTTAGCAATCGCATTATTTATACTTTTTATAGTTCATTTTAAGTATAACACTTTGTTTAATAGTTTTTTGTTGAAACATTTTAGGTTTGCTTCATTTATTCATCAAATGATTGATGAGCATGATGTGACTCACGCCAGGCGCCTTCGCCATTTGTTACTTTGTTCATTTTCTACTTATTTAAAATTAAATTGTAGATTTCTAATTAACCTAAAGACAGTAACGTATCTAATTACAATTTGGGTAAATAACTTAGTTCGATATTCTACCACATTTACGATAAAAAGACTTCTTTCTATTACTTTCGAATTTCATTAAACCAGATGAATCTAGGAGCTTTAAGAAAATTGAAATTAACGATTTGGTGAATCTCGTAATTGGAGAAACAATAGAAATGTCTTTCTTTATTTAGGCTACAGAAAACAACATACAGGACAAGACAAGAAGTAGCAGAATCGGAGACAATTTCTGGAACTATCCCAGAGTTATACCTAATGTACTCAAACAATTACCTGAGTTGAGAAAATTATTACCTTCTTTATAAATTATTTTGATAATACAAAACCTTATATGTCTTCTAAAATTTATATATACTGTTAAATTCTGCTGAAACATACTTTACGTTATTCTAATTAGTTATTAAGAAGATTTCGTTGATTGGAGAGAGATGTTATTCCAAGCATAATGGTTTACTGGCTGCGTCAGGAATAACAATTAAAATTCTAAATGTGGGAACATCAAGAACTTATTTTAGGATATTTTAGAATTGAAAGCTTTACTTGAATTTCATTAGCATGAGAATAGCTTTGAGAACAAAATTGGAATCAAAAGCTTTACAATCTCTCTAGATAAAGCCAGCTAATTTACAAAAAGCAAGAGAGAAATAAGACCCCTTCATATGTTTCAATGCTTACCCAAATTCCACATGAATAATTTTAGTTCGAGTTGAACGCTGAAAGAATATTTGAAAAATTATTTAATTTGCTTGAGTACTACACCCATGAAATAAGAAAAAAAAAAAGAAATATTCAGTGACATATTGATTATAAGTACATACGTCAATTTGTAAATATAATTAATAGAACAATCAGTCAAAAGAAATATGGGAATACTTTCATTAAATCTTAATACTCCATTCGCTACGGCTTTAACCTTAATTGTAATTGTAACACTGCCATTTGTGATTTCCCTTACTGCAGTCTACATCACTTATGGAGTGAGTAAAGATATATCGATTAGTTGTGAAGAATTCTGTAAAAGTTACAGCCAAAAGCCGATTCAACCGAAAATCTACGTTGAAGGCTTGGAAGAAGAAAGAATGGCAAATGAACTTGTTATTTCCGCGTATAAATTAACAAACGAAAGCTATATAAATAAAGCACCGTTTAACGAAAGTTACATTCTCGATCGGAATACCAATTCATTTCCGAAGTTTCAAGTGAAGCAATTGGGAAAATTTCGTCTAAACGAAAAAGCAGTTGACAAAATGGACGAAGAATTGATTGGGACAATAAATGTACAGGAAGATGTCGATGAAATAATCAATTTTGAGAATGAAATTTATTCACAATCCCATGGAAATCACTATAAATCCGCGCTGATGCTAGAAGATCTTGATGACAATAATATTGAACCAGTTGTTGGTGATAACAAAGAAAAATTAGAAAATTTTAAAAATTATACCAGTGCCCATCATCCATTCGAAGTAATAGAAGACATAACTAAATATGTAGTAGCACCTACTGTGAAGGCTAAACTGAAGATAAAGAATATTAATAATACAAATTCACAAACTACAACTAAAAGTGACATAGAATTTGCTATGGATCATACGCCACAACAGAATGAATTGAAAATAAAAAAAGAATTAAATATAAATAATAAAAATATCAAAAACAAAAACGAAGAAAAGATATTAAATGATGAAAACGAAACAATTTCTATAACTCCAAATATCCAAGCATCAAATAATGTTGATACTACAAAAACTAATTGAAGTATATTTAAATGCTTTAACGATAATTATTATTAATATGAATTTAGTAAATTTAATAAGGAATTACAAATTAATA